TATATACGTTGGATTTCTTTTTCATCATATATTTACAACTTTGTTACTATCAAACATAATTCTGTCCACAAGCTTTTTCTTTTTTTGTACGCCGATATCTTGTCAACTCAATTAATCGATAATTGCTATATTTTAATATGTGAATGAGAAATGATTTACATTTACACCAATTGATAATATTTCCTTACTCGACGAATATAATTATTTGAATTCTTCACACATCAATTCAATGTTACGATCATTTTATATACCAATGCGTACGTGTACGTATATATTTACACGTAAACGTATTGATTTTGAATCTTTTGTTTTGACGTGAGGAGTTTATTTCTTGTTTTCCTTTTTCTCTCGTCTTTTCATTTGTATTATTTAGTTAATAATTTGCCAAATTAGTTTATATATTATGTAGCTATTCTAACTGCCATTATAGAGCATAAATTGTAACAAACCAAAAATTAAACATGTCATTATAAATTTTAATGATATAATAAATTTTCTTATATTTATTATCAGTTTCTTTACTCTTCAAAAATTTTGCATATTTTTGCTAACTGACACACACACACACATCCATAAGCATTTTTGAATTAATTGATTAATTGCGTAATAATAAAATTAAAAGTCTCCAAAAAATCAATATTGCTATACTTTATCATTGCAACAAATATTTTCTCAAAATCGTCCGTTTTTTTTCGGTATTTTTATTTCTTTCTCATGCAAATAAACTTTTTTCCTTTACTTGAACTGCTAATTAGTTTATACACATTAATTATTTAACCTGCCCTTATAAAAATATAAATTATATTAAATGAAATTAAACTTGATGCCATAAATTTCAAATGGTACAATAAATTCTCGTAAATTTATCATCATTTTCAGGGAAAGGGAAGGAATGAGAGGGAGAGAGATTGCGATCTAAGATATTTTGGAATTACAAGAGCATCTAATAATTTTTACCCTACCTTACTTAAAATATTATTGCTTAGTCAAATTTCACAATTAACTATCACCTTTCTATCATGATCAATCTTTGTTACTTTGATTGTCGGATTATGCAAATTATTTTTTTGCCGATTATTAGTTTACTTTTATTTTCCTCCCTTCCATTAATTCATAAAAATTTCTTACTTTCCCGTTTCGCGAAATATGCAACATTTTATCCGTATTCATAACAATAATGTGAAAAGCAAAAAAACCATTTTTTTTCCTCAAATTTAAATTTAAAATTAAATTCTTTATTTATAGAGCAAAAATTATACAACATTCAGTCATATACTGCTAGGCAAAGTGATTATCATCAATCATCCAATCAATAAATAAGTATTTCAAAATTAAAATTCTGATAACTATACAACAATATAAATACATCAATTTTAAGCCTGTGAATTTAGATGGAATCGGACAAATCCGGTCTAATTTATTCGTCTGATTTACTCCCAGTCTAACCAAAATAATTACGTAAACAGTGATAGTGATAAGTTAGCAACAGAATGCCAATTAAAATTTAACAATCCTGTAATTAATAATTGCAACAAATTTTGTTGCCAAAAATTTCATTATCCATTAATAGAGCAAAAAATAAAAAATGTACAAATAATTAAATTAATGAACAGAAAAAACAAATTATAAATGAGAAACAAAAATGATAAGCATGGAAGAAATGTAGCAGGAAATTGAAGAGAGATTTAAATGATAAGAAAATAGTACAGTTGGTGTTGAAAGGAAGAATTGATAAGCAATTTGATAAGATATTGGAAATACATAAGCAGAAGATAATGTAAATAATATTGAAATTATTAACAAAAATAAAAGAGTGCGATTAAAACTTCCTGCAAAAAGAAAATGGTAAACATATTGAAGATGTATGAAAAATGTGATCCAAAAGGAATGAAATTGAAATTATCAAAAAAGAATTTCAATCTTATCAGTTACATTATCACATACTTTTAATGACACATTTTAGCAATGCAAGAAATCTTTGAAGTAACTTTTCTTTTTTACGAGCTAATTAAAATTTTGTCAAATTTAAAAAGGCAACAACATTAAATTTAGCAAAAAAATCAATACGTAAAATCAATCGGATTTGCCAAAATCACTAAAAATCAATACGTGCAAGAAATAAAATTCCTTCTTCCGCCTCCCCCACAAAACGTGATTTTTTCGAAATCTTAGCAATTTTTTCGGAGTGATCGAAAAATAATTCCGTTTCTACATTTTTCAATCATTGTTTTAACATTTATTAATCGAATAAATTTAAATGTTATTTTCATGATCAATAAGTGCATATATTTTCATTGCATTTATTATTTATGAAATTAACATTAAAAAAAGAAATTCATAAATCAAAATCATGCAATTAATATTGAATTAATTAATAAATTTACCAATGATACTAATATGGTGGTAAGAAGGAATGAATAAATTGGTTTAAAAGATGTAGCAGTGATTGAATTATTACTATTCACTGTTGCAGTATTTGTATTGCATGCATCACTCTTGCACGAACAAACCTGAAATTGTTGCTGATCATGATCATACATTATAGTTGTTGATCATGATTACATATTACAGTTGTTAGCCATTAGATATTATAGTTGCTGATGATGAATAGATATTATAGTTGTAGATCATAATTAGACATTATAGGTTGCTGATCATGATTTGATATATATGTAGTTATCATTATTGTTAACATTATATTTCTTGCAAGGGAAGTACACGCAATTCACTGAAACTTTGCAAATGATTTTCATGCTTGTCCCTCTTTTCTTCTTGAAATTAAATTTTAACGATTTTTTCCTCTTGAAATAAAATTTTTATGATGTTAAAAATTAAGTAGAGATGACAAAATAAATAAAGTGTAATCAGTTATCATCTTATCAACAATATTTTACAGTTGTATTAATGGATTAATACTTTACTGATAACAATTAGACCAACTTGTACATGCTCATCAGTTTGAATTGATGGCCAAATTTGTGATAGCGGTAATTCAAGACAAATTGCTTCGGAATGAAGAAAATCTACTTCAGGTGGATGATTTTGAACTGAATTGAAAATTTTTTCAGCACAACCACGAATAAATGTATATGGTGTAGTTATTGATTGCACACCTGAAAGTATAATTTCGATTTTCATTTTTCCTCTGAAATTTATTCATAATTGAAAATTGAAATTATTAAATTTACATTGTTGAAAATATAAATGTAATAATAATTTTACTTGTATTTTAATTTTGATCAGTGAAAAGATTAAGCATTATCAGTCAAATGAATTGATATAATTTTCGTTGTTTTTCTTTATTTCTCCAAAATGCTTCCAGTTAGATTAAATTTAATCTAATTAAAATATTTCATAACGAAAATTTTTAATGGAATATTAAATATAATATTAATTATGGAATATTAAATAAAAATGAACAAAATATTAAACAGAAGATAAAAATATTTGTAACTCAGCTCAGATTCTTTTGTTTTAATTTCGCAATTAAGATGGAAGCTTTAATTAGTTCTCTTCAATTTCTTTCAAAATAATTTTTCTCAAAAAATAGTGACTCTTTCATTTCTCTTTCTTTTTATTCACCAACGAAGGAATGAAATTTTGCAAAATAATTGCTAATTAAAAATATTAAAAATTTACTTCAAAAAATAATCAAAAAGAAAAACGCTATAATAATTATAGAAAATTCTACGGTACCATAAATACATCCAAAATATTTCTGCTATATATTTTTATCTACCAAAAAAAGAATGTTTATCTGCCTAGTTTATCTGCCTACCGTATTCTGCCTACCGTATTTCCTTAGCTTTATTGCTGTGATAGTTACCTTCGAAACACTGTAGTTCCATAATCAAAAAAAAAACGCTGTGATAATTATGGGAATTACTACAGTACCATAAATACTTCGAATATTTCTCCTATATATTTTTATCTATCCAAAAAATGCCATGTAGTTAACTACCTACCGTATTCCGTTAGCTGTGTTGCTGTGATAGTTACCTTCGAAATACTGTAGTTTCATAAAAATAAAACGCTATAATAATTATGAAAATTACTATAGCAACATAAATACTTCTAATATTTCTGCTATATATATATATTTTTATCTATCGAAAAAATTCCGTACAGCTCATCTACATACTGTATTTCCCTAGTTGCATTACTGTAATAATTACCTCCGAAATACTGTGGTTCCATAATGGAAACACATGTTGAAGCGCATTTAGTTAACGGTGCAAATGCTTTTAATTGTTCCAGGCTATCACAAAATTCACCGAAACGTAAAATACTTGCGGAACGTTGGAATGCCGTAAAACGTTCAAATAAACTTTCATAATCAGTTGAAGCACACGTAAAACATCTAGAAGAAAAGAATTGATTAAAGAAAAAAGAAAACTTAATTATTACTTAATTATTCAAATAAGTTACACTGAAAATATTTGAAAATTTGAAAGTGAAAAAAGTAATATTTGAAAAATTTGCTAATTTTAATTAAAGTAGGCGAAGGAGGAAAGTTTCATTATATATAATCGTTTATTTTATTTCTTTTGTTTTTCAAAAATTGAAACACTTACTTAATTGCATAACCTATTTTTCGTAACGAAAGTGATAACAGAAGAGTGATAAATTGATATAATTGCATGATCAGTAATCTGATCATTTCAAGTAGAATGATTGAATTAGTGCAGTTTGTAAGATTGAATGATTTACACAATTATGTCAAATTTCATCAGAATATTTGTGTAAATAATAAACAGCAAGTAAATTTATAATTTGAACATATCCTGAAATTTATAATTTGAACATATCCTGAAATAAAAGATTTTTTTAACAATTTCAAAAAACCAAGCAAAAACATTTTAGTAAAACAAATCTTTAATATTTTTCCTTATGAATATTTAATGACTCTTTTCAAAAATTGAAATAATACACATTATTAAAATTATCAAATCATCATTCATATTGTAATTAACCATTTATACTTACTTAATTGTATAATCTATTCTTCGCACCAAAAGTGATAACAGCAGAGTGATAAATTGATATAATTACATGATAATATAAGCTTATCTTAAATTGGTGTATATTTTTCAACAATTTGCACATTATTAAAATTACCAAATCATCATTCATATTGTAATTAATCAATCATTTACACTTACTTAATTGCATAATCTATTCTTCGTATCAAAAGTGATAACAGCAGAGTGATAAATTGATTTAATTACATGATAATATAAGCTTATCTTAAATCGTGTGTATTTTTCAACAATTCTAACGAAATAGGAATTCGTATCATTCTGATGCTATTAGAATTCCGTAATTCCATATTGTTTATGGATATTCATCAAAATTTAAAATTAGTTAGTTATGGAATACTTATAATATGCATCTTTATGAAGGTATCTGACCGGAAAATTAATTAATGTTGATAATTTTAATGGTTATCGTTATTACGTTTCTCAGTCAATCATATATCTTTCTAATGATCAACAGTTATTTTCGGGAATTGACTAAACGATATCAAATTGCTAAGTCATTCCGTTCAATTTATTTTTTTCTAAAATCCCATCTAAATCTGATGTAATTTATCAATAATGTAATTTATCAATATTTAGGCTAAATTTTGGTTCATTTGAAATAATTGACAATATATTTCATTTTATATTATAATTATATATATGTTCTAATTATTGTTAAGCATTATTGATAATGATCAGATCATTATATACAGATCTTACTTATCATTATTTACCTATTCATTCAATTACTGCATAAATTCAAATTATGGAAAATTTGCATAATATCATCTATCAAATGATTGTAAGGAATAAAGATGAAAAAGTAATTCTAGAAATAAATATTCCGAAAAAGAAATGACACAAATATTACGTCAGATCATAACGTGACACACGTCATACCTACTGATTTTTTCTCTTTGATTTTTCATATATATATATATGTTAGTAAGAGATTCAATATATGTGATAAAATAATTAATTAATTAAAATCAAATTGAATGATTACAGAATTTTTATAGAATCTCTTACTAATGTATATCACTAATAATAGCATACAAATAGTATATGCAATTGATATGTATTGTTGGCAAACGATGATATTATTAATTATGTCATTTTCGCTTTTTTTTCTATTAATGACAACAAATATGATTATGATTAAACAGTGCTAATGATAATATCAATGATAATATATGATAAGAATAGTAATAGTTTCATCTATCCCTTTATATGCATATTATCAAGTTAGTAAAATATGTATGAAGGAAATGATTAAATCATCCTGTGTGGTGACTTTTTACGGTAAATTTTAGTTGAAATAATCCGGAAAGAAGAAGGAGAAATTTATGAATGAGTGAATAATGTAATATATTCCATGAGAAGGGAGAAAGAAAATGAGATTAAATTTAAATTTTAACAATCATATATATATAATATGATAAAGTATTGAATTAAAGAAACAGTGATACAGTAAAATTAAATTAAAGAAAAGAAAAATCACAAGAGATGTGATACATATTTTAATCAAAATTGATTATCTCTCATAGTCAGTCGTACGGATCAATTGTTCAATCATTACTAAATTTGCTACATACA